CCCCCCCCGCTTCCCCCCCAGCACGGACGGGGCCGGCAGGCGGCTCTCGGCGCGGGCTCGGGGCCAGCGGGCGCGGGGAGCTGATGGCGGCCGGCGACGGAGCGGCTCGCTGCCCGCCCCGCGCACCCAGCGCGGTGCCGGCGGGCCGCTGAGCGGGGCGCAGCTCCGCGCTCGTCAGGCAAAGGTGCGCCGGGGGGGAGGAGGGTTGTACAGCGGGGGAAAAGCGGCGGGGAGAGGCAGGGAGGTGCCCGGCTGCGCTCTCTCAGCCCGGCGGCGCGCATCCTCTCGGATGAAGGAGTAACGCAGCCGCGTGTTTATCTTTTTTTTTTTTCTCTTTTTTTTAAAGGGTGAGGGGTGTTGGCTATTTTTTCTTTTCTTTTCTTTCTTTCTTCTTTTCTTCTTTTTTCTTTTTTTTTTCTTTCTTTTTTTTTTTTTTTTTTTTTTTTTGCTATTTTTTCTCCTTCCCCCTCCCAACCCCCCACTCTCTTTCTGCATCCAAACACATCGCCTCCTCCCCAGGAGCCGGATATCTCCCACCCTCAAACTATGGCTTTTCCCAAATCTCCCGACGCGTCAACCGCGCCGAGGAGAAGCCCCGGGCTGCTGGAGATCGGCGCTCTGTGCTTGGACTCGGACATCATCTTCGGCTTCACCAGCCACCTCCTGAGGCGCAAAGCCAAGGTAAGGGCACCTCGCCCGGCCCGGGACGGAACGGGGGGTGGAAGGGGGGAGTTGGGTCGACGGCAAACTTCCAGCGGAGCGAAGTTTGGCGGCTCTGCGGGCTTTCAGCACCACGAACAGTGCGGGCGGCTCCGCGGAGCGGCGCGGAGAAGCGCGGGGGCACCGCCCCCGTCCAACCCGAGAACGTCTCCGATGGAGCGTTGTGCGGGAGGTACTCGGGCACGCGAAATACCCGAAACTTTGTTACGGCTCCGGGCAACGGTGCGCGGGTATCGTAAAGCTGTGTAGGAGGCGAACACGACCGCCCCAGCCCCCAGGGGACAGGCACCCATTTGTATTTTTTAGAAGGGGGCTCTTCAAACACGTGGTCAGGAAAGTTTAAGCGGTGAAGAAGGCGTCTGATGGAAAGGAGTAGAGGATGTCTCTCGGGGAGGGGAAAGTTAACGCGTAGCCCTGTGCATTTTCCTCCCAACTCCCCGCGCTGGGCGCTGCTCCCCGCAGCGCAATGCTGTGCTCCGGTCCCACTGCGCGTAGCCGGGGGTCGAACAGGGAGCGGAGCTCGGCAGTGCGGTACCGCATCGCGGCCGGAAGGTGGCGCCATAGCCACAGCGACGGCAGAGCCGGGGAGGGACTGAGCCCCGCACAGCGCCCGCCCGTCCCGGCTTTCCCCCCGCGCTCCGCGGGCAGCATCGCACCGTGCTGAGGGAGAGCGGGAGGAGTGGGAGACAGCGGCGCCTGTGGCCCTCTCTGGGGGAGAAAAACTTAAAAAAAAAAAAAAAAAAAAAAAGTGCTAAATACACGAGCCGGAGCGGCAGCCAAGTAGACAATTAACTGCGAGCGTTAATTTCCCCATCTGTCGGGTCAACAGTCGCGTGTAGCAACATCGCGGCGCCCCCATCGAGCGGCTGCGGAGCCGGCCCGGAGAGGGCGGATGCGGTAGAAGCGGGGGCAACCCCGGCACCTGCAGAGTTGCGCTGGGACCTTCCCAGCCCCCCCGATGCCCGCGGGGTTCACCGATGCGGCAGCCACGCGGCACCCCGTCCCTTTCGCCCCGCTCCTGCGGAGCTCGGGGCTGTCTGCACAAAACCCCGAGCACAGCGGTTTGGGACGGTCCCGTAGGGCCGCTATGAAAACAGCATCCCCTCACCTTCCAAACCCAACCCCAGCCCGCCCCGCTTACCCCACCCCGCCCGGCCCCTCCTCCCCTGCCCGGAGAGCACTTCTGCAGCTTTTTTCCGACGTGCTCCCGTGCTCCGGCTCCTTCTCCGTGCCGCCGTGGGGAGCTCACTCCGCCTTCCTCTCCCGACCCAAACTTCGCTCCGTCCGCAGCATGGGAGGCAGCATCACTTAGCACCGACCCCCGCCTCTCCCTCTGCCCACCATGGGCTCCTCGCACCGCCGGGCACCTCGCCGCCCGCAGTAGCGGAGCGGGGCCGCGTCCCCATCCTCCAACATGAGCGCGGTGACCGGGAGGAAGGGGCCGGGGCTGGAACCCCGGGCTGAGGGGGTGAGTTGCGGGAGCGCTGCTACCCGCTCGTGGGTTTTTTGTTTGATAACTTTATTTATTTATTTCATTTTGCCGCGTATTTATTTATTTATTTATTTTCCCCCCCGCGGGGCGGGTGGCTGAGGTGGGTGGGAGTGGTGCCGAGCTTTCCGCGATGCTCGGCGCTGAAGCTCTCTTTGCTCTCTCCGCAGGTGGCGGAGGGGAGCGCGGGGCGGGAGCTCTCCCCTCGGAAAAAATCTCCGTCCGCCGCCTCCTCCGCCGTCCCCGAGGAGGAGCGCTGCGCCCGCCGCCCGCCGCCCGAAGGAGCGGGGTCCGCCGTCGTCGGGAGCGAAGCGCGGCCGCTGGAGCGGGCGGCGGCCGGGGGCTGGTGCCGGAGCTGCCAGGCGCAGCTGGCCGAGCTGAGGAAACAGGCGGCCAGGTTGGCTGCAGGCGGCTGCCCGCCCAACGCCCCGCCGGTAAGTGAGGGCTGCCGGCTCCGGGAGGGGAGAGAAGGGAGGAGGCAAACTCGGTCCCGGGGCGTGCAGGTGTGTGCCCCGCGGATATGGCACCCCCGGCGTTTTGCGAAGCGGGAGGGTGCTGCAAAAGTTTCAGGGTTTGCAGGCGTTGGTTTATCGGGAAGTGCCGCTGCGTGTTCTCTGCGCGGGTAACGCCGTCGGCTGCTGGGATAAAGAAACTGAAATAAGAAGTGACTTTGACGGGGGCAGCGGGGCGGCACAGCGAACGCCGTCCGGGCACGGGGAGCGGCGGATCCAGGCTTCCCCTGTACTGTCCCGTTTGTGGAAGCGCACTGAGACTGCAGGGGGTTCAGCTCGGCTCCTCCTCCTAGGAGGACGTGAAACGCCGCTGACACCCCCGTATGTCCCCACACGCGTTCCCCCCCGTGGTGGTGGTCGGGAGGAAGCCGGAGAGGAGCTTTGCGGGGCTCTCGCTGCCCGGTGTTCCTCAGGTTTCCCTCGGTTTCCTGAGGTCCTGGAGTCATTCAGGGTGGTTTCTCTCGAGTCTGCGGCTCGTGGTGACTCTGGCAGTGAGTGGATAAAGTGCATGAACGCTCCAGAGGTGGCCAGATGTGTACCGTTCCTCCTTCTGTGTTTCTGTCTACAAGAAGTCTTTACCACTGCTTCTGGTGTCTCTCTTCCTTAAGTAACTGTGTGAAACAAAGCTTTCATAAGGTGATACAGGTGGAAAAACCTTCGTGCTGAGCCTTGGGACCTGGGGAGACCTTTGGAGTTCAGTGATAGTGCAAAATGCAGTAGAAGACCCCGAGGTTCTGTTTCAGGGCACCAAAAACCTGTCATGGTTTTTTGATAACGTTTGGCAGAGAGGTATTGTTTTCTAAACAATGCTTATCTGGATGGCTATAAGAATAGGGGGGCTTGGGGGGGGGGGGTTGGAGGGGAGGGTCTGAAGAGGAAGCCAAACCCTATTGACCTTCATTTTCATTCAAAGATTTCCTGTATGATCTACAGCATTCCCATTGAATCTAAATATAGTTTTGTTTGGAAGTGCATTGTGGAGCAGTGTCAGTGAGGTTTGCATTCTCAGGCCTGGCCCAAAACACTTTGAAATCAACAGGAGTCCCTGTGCTGACCCATTGGGTCAATACGAGCTCCTCTTCTGCAGCGTAAAGGTCTCGGGTCAGGATTGTCAGACCTTTTGTTTTATGGATGGTTTAATTCCCATTGTGAGATCCATGTGATAGGGCTGGAGAAGTGTGCACGCAACCCAATTCCCATTGCTGTGGTGGGACCCATCCCTGATGGGATGAGCGGTGTGGGGAAGGAGCTGGCCAGGTGTGTGGGGAGCAAAGGGCTGTGTCTGTGTGGTCCTTTCCCTCCGGTCCTTTATAAGCACTCGATGACGGGTGAATGAATGAGTGAATCCTGCTTTTCTGCAGCGTGTCTAGGAAAGTAATAACAGAGTCATCATCACAGTGCTGGAACCTTGACAGGCTTAGTCACGGAGTCACGGGTACCTGGGGGGTACTGGATGAGCAGCATACTGATACTTGGGGTCCTTTAAAACTAAGTTTTCCAGTGTGCATGAGACCTCCAGCCTTAACTGACAGCTCACAGGCCCCTCAGTCAGGCAGTGAGCTGCTCCTCAGGTAGGAAGATGCAGCAAGCAACCCCACTCACTACCTTCTGCCCAGCAGATAGCAGGAGATACCCAGCAGAGTTTGGGTGCTCAGCTGCAGCTTGTTGGCCATGCAGTGAGAATCTGATGCAATAAGCTGGCAGGCTGAGTGCACTGTAATGTTTGTGCCAGAAAGGCAGCTTGCATTCCCCCCCCTTCTTTCTTTCTTGTTTAATTATATAACAAGACATCTGAAAATGCAGCTCCTCTTCCTGAGTTTCTTGCCTGTACATTAAAGGTCCAAAGAGTTTCTCCTAATGCACTGTCAGAGGAAGAAGCAGCTCCCAGGAGAGCGAATGCAGGAGGCTGCTGCTGGGAGCACACTGCTCTCACAGCCCTGTCCCTTGCTGTCGCAGTGAAGGGATCTTTCAGCACAGGTTGAGAAAGATTTCCACACCTGGTTTAAAGCCCTTTGGAAAGGTGGGTGGGAGCCTGGGAGATGAAAGAAGGGCCAGTTTCCTGCTGTTGATATCTGTGCTGATGAAAGGGAGCAGTTGTATTCTTCTGCGTGGGGCAGCTGACAGGGGATTGAATTCACATTAGAATAAAAAACCAAGGTTCTGTTTGCAGTCTGTGGGGATAACAGATCTAATTGCTCAGGAGGGTGATGATTCATCGTTTGTGTGTTGCTGTCCTTTCAATTAGACTTATTTAAAATATATAAATAATGTAAAGTTTCGGTGCTCAGATGATGTGCATTGATTACAGAATGCTGTTCGTTGTTTGGGGCTTTTTCAAGTTCTCCAAATCTCTGTTGACAAACGATATAGAGATAGACCTCTTTGCTTATATTACAACTCCTTTGCAGTTCTTCTGAATACTAGATTTATTGCACCCCACGCTGCCAATTCCCCTCTTTTTGCTGCTGCTGTCTTTACGGCTTGCTGCCACAGTGAGGCTGTGAACGAATCAGAATCAGCAAGGATGAGGAGTATGGGGGAGAAAAAAAAAAAAAAGCAAAGTTCAATCGCAGAAAGTATCACAGATTGGCATTTGGGTGTTGCAGCATCAGCTGCTGGGTCGTGCACTGAACAAGTGGAGGAGAAAAAAAAGAAAAGAAAGAAATAGGTGCCTCATGTTATCCTTAATTAAAAGTTTTGCATGTGCCTTGCAGGCCGTGTCCCTGGGGAGCTGTAATGGGCTCCCGAGGTCCAGATGTTCCTGGAAGCTGCTGCTGTTGGCAGCCTGGGGAGGTGGGTTGGTGGTCGCTGCCTGGCTGGCAAGGAGCCTCGAAAGCCACCCCGACAATTACCGCTAATTGGCATCATTGTTGGCAGTTTCACAAGAGAGGCTGAGGACTGAATGGAGCTGTGGATTAAATTAGTAATAATAATACTTAGCACCTAAAATCATCTTCTCAGTACTTCACCAAGTGCTAATTAATTAATTCGTGTGACATCCCTGCTCGGTAAACTAGAACGAGCTGCCCATCCAGAGAGGTGTGTGTGGGAACGAGGTGTGCCCCCCAGGGAAGGGACAGGCAGGGACGGTGTGAGGTGTGCAATGAGCTGAGTAACAACCGTACCCAGTTCTACCGAAATAGGAGTTTGTCATCGGGGCTAAGAGGAGGCCATGACGAGAAGTTTTCCTTGGAGGCAGTTAGCAGAGGACTGTGTCCCTCCCAGCCCGAGGATGACCCTGTTTCATC